ACCATTTTTTGTTTTAACGACGATGTCCCTCTTTTCGATTGAATCAGAAATGTCACCAATAATTAAAGCAACAACCTCAGAAGCAGTCGGTAGGTTATATGTTCTTCCATCTTGCTCCCTTCTCCCGATAAGTCGTAATTTCATATCAACTTCTGGATTTTTCTGAAAAGTATCTCTTACCATCCTATAAGATCTAACCAAGACATTATTTGAATCCAACATCACCTTAATATCTTCAATAATATCACTATAAATTGATGTTGATTGATTCTTTTCCCCACTAAAATAAATAAATTTATACATAATATTAGTAATATATATATATATATATATATATATATATATATATATAATAATAATAAAAAATTATGAATAAGAAGTTTGAAAACAATACCGAAAACATCTTTGTCTATTTGTAATTTCGTTGTCAGTGTCATAAATGTATAATTGAGAGAATTTTGGTTCAGATCCTTTTGCTGGTAAAAGACTTCCAATACTATGATAATTTTGACCACCCAATCTGAAAATGTATGGAGCGTTTCCTCTATTGATTGAAGAATCAGTTTTACCACCCATCGACGTAAAAGAAAACATTGAATTGTAACGTCGAATGTTCTTCATGAAGTGTTTGCTTTTTGAATCCATATTTTGGAACATTTTTTCATAAGTCGGGGGTGCTTTCTTTAAATCTGGAAGTTGAACTTTGCCGTAAGCACAACATAATGAATAATCTGTGTTCCCGTTTTCTTTACCTCTAATGGATTCATTTCTCCATAACTTTGCATGACATGTTTGACATACAACATTTTGATCACCATGATCCAAATATTATGTCAAATAAAAGCATTGAATAAAATATAAATGAATTTTATAAGTATATACAACATAGTATTTGAAATGTAAAATGGATATTATTTTTTTGATTACCATTTGAGATACCAACTATAAGATTTTCATTGTTCACGTGATGCATATTTTCTTCCTCTTCTGTCAAATCAATCAATGGGATAGGGGATAAATGTCTTGTCTTCGTTTTTAATCTATGACATCCTGGATTTAACTTGATTGATGATGAAGAAGTGGTTACTGTAGATGCATTTTTTGATGTCATTTCATTTGAAAGTACATAGCACTGTCTTCTGTTTGGTATTTTGTGATTGGCATATTTATCGATATTGATGTTATCTGACCAAAAGACTTTATAATTAGTATAATAAGTATATATATATATATATATATATATATATATATATATATATATATGTATGTATTATATACAAAATGGATAATAGTATATTTTAAAAACAATAAATAATTACCATTTGTAATGTTAGATAACGGATTTTTAACATTTGTAATGTTAGATAACGGAGTTCTAACATTTGTCAAGGAAGGAGAGTATTGTATGGTTGTAGTATGCATTCCAGGTGAAGTAAATGAATTGACATTTTGAGTTTGCCCAACAATGTTGGTCGATTGATCTGCAAATAACAACAACTTATAAAACGTTTAAAGATATGTATAAAACAAAGTAACAGTAAAACATAAAATATAAAATAATAATAGGATGTAGTTAATTATATTATTTAAGAGATGCAGTATTGATGTACTTGGAACGTTCAATGTTGTTTTTCATTTTCTTCGATCTTTTATTTTCCAAATATATTTTTCTTTGTCTTCTTTTCTCTCGGGCTTGCATGTGGTACACGTTATTCTTGTTTTCTGCATAAGAACACATAAGATACGATATGAAATGTGAAATTAGGTAAATAATATGATTATATAATAATTTGGAAGGAATAAATAAGCGTACCTTTGTAAGCATCGGTTAGCAATTTAGAAGAATATTGATTTGCAGGGGACAAGTACTTGACAAATTATCTATTTTTTATGTGAATATATATGTTAAATATTTAAATAAACTTGCTTTTACTTAAAATAATAAAAAATCATGATAAAGTAAATTTATTTGAAAAGTACCTTTGTTAATTGAAGTATTAACCGTTGTACTTTTTGAAGTATTAATTTTGTAGTTTTTTAGAACGGAAATGCATTGTATGTCTGCAACTTTAAAAGATAAATAATATTATTTTAAAAATTGAAATATTTAAGAAATATCAAATTAACATTATACGATGGATTATATAATTTTTTATGTATTTGTTTAATACAATGGTTTTGTAAATCTACAAATATAAATTTATTGATGTATTATTTTATTAAAGAATAACTCAGTTTAAATCTTTTTAAGATTTTAAATAATATAAAATCGAACTTTATATTTTTTATAATTTATTTTTTTTATAATGTGTACAAGTGTATTTAATTAAATATATTAAAGTTAACATGACTTTTGGTATATGCAAATATAAATATGGATCGAAGGGATCCAAATAATAGTCAATATCCACACTTACTGTTACATGTGAAATGTGTTGTATATGCAGAAAGAAATAAGGTCAAGAAATCGCAATAATCTCGCATCTACTCTCTTTCTACAGACATCTTCGTCTACACTCACTCTCTCTATATTTCTCTTTTTGTGTGTGTGTTCCTATCACTCACTCGCGGGTTAACCCTCAACGTATTTCATTTGATTCAGCCACCATCGGTTGTCTTCAACAACTCATGAAATGGAAACTTGAGGATTTCATCTACATTGAGCTCTCCTCATACGACATAGTCTCCGTTTCCATGAGAATAGATGATCCTAACCCCAAATCTCCTTATTCTACTGCCTACCTCAATTCCTTCCCTGATGTCGATCACCGGTCTTCATCGTCATTTCGAACCTAGGGCTTATTTTATTTCGAATTGTTCTTTCCCCAATTTCAAACAATTAATTGTTGGGATGATATGAGGGGGTAAAATCCTAGTTCTCCATGGAAACCATGAACAAAAAATCGTTGGAATGAATGTCTATTTAAAAGAGGTAACACATTTTTTTTCCGAGTATGTACATATTTTGAATAAACTTGATTTTCTAAGATCTGTTTCACAATAGATAACACCTTATTTATAGTATTTGCAGATATTGTTATGCGATGAAAGAGATTCAAAAACCTTGTTTCAAACGATTAGAGCTTTAACAACTTGATGAAACTGTACCAGGTAAATAATATTTTATTAGATTAGATGGCTTATAATTGACGTTTTTCTTTAGTTTGGTTGAAATTGGAATTAAATTCCGTTCCAACACTTAGTTGCAAATGAGTATGGAAATGGAATACAATAAATCAATTGACTTTCAATGTTCATAAATAAATCCATACATAAACCAATGTTATTATAACTCAAAAGACTAACCTGGTATATCAATATTGAAATGTTGCAGGAAGTAAGAGGGCTTTAAAATGAAAAGCAGTTAACGTCTGAACTGAAATGAGGAATAGAACTTCTATGAAGCAGATTGTTGTAACTTTGAGGAAATAACAATTGCATATCCAATTCAAAGACAAAGAAGACGAATGAGGATTTTCAAAATGATTGCTTTCACGTTATGAGGTATATTTAGAGATATAACCTTATTTACATAATAATATCTTTATAATATATTACCAGATTTTATGAATTTATTGTTGTTGAATTTTTATTGGATAAGTATCTGTTCCTGATTTTATGGGATATAATAGATCACAAATTAATTACATATTAACATATGATTTGAATTTAATAAAGGATTACCGAAATTTAGGCTACAAAATAAAAATAAACACTAAAAATCATAATAATTAATCATAACTTTGGAAAAAGTTTATTTTATACAACATTAAATGTTATAACAAATTAAAATAGCAAAACTAATACATAATGAATGGTTAATAAACATAATGGAATTACTAATGTTATATTTTAAATTAAATTTAAAAGATATACACTTTAAAAATTAAATAAGCCTTATACCATATGCACAAATCAATGAATTTATAACATTCTGCACAAATCAGTTTACATTATTGACATTTATAGCAATATACTTAGAAAGTATATTGCTATTTTAGGATAGAAAGGATAAAAAGTCTTAATAAATATATTGTATACACTGGTAAAAGAAAAGTGTATTACTATATTACGGTTATATTGCGATATTAAGTCATTGTTAGTTATAAAAAAGGGTATTATGGGAAGTTTTCAAAAAAATTGTAATTTGCAAGAATAGTTTTTGTTTGAAAGGTCCATGTGTTACTAACTTTACATAAAAGGTCTCTCCGTTAGTAACTTTACAAAAAATCTCCATATTTTTAAAAATTTACATAAAAGGTCCTTGTTTTTTCAAAGTTAATAGAAATTATCATGTTTTTAAAGTTTTATTGAAATTGTGCCTGTTTTGTAAGAATTAACAGAAAGTGTCCATATTCATAATTTTAAAGTAATTAACAGAAAGTGTTCATATTCACAATTTTAAAGTAAATAACAATGGGTAATAAACATAATGGAATTACTAATGTTATATTTTAAATTAAATTTAAAAGATATACACTTTAAAAATTAAATAAGCCTTATACCAAATGTATTGACAAAAACAAAATTTAATTGAAAAAATATCAATAAAAAAGTAAATATACAACACATACATACATAAAAAAATATACAAACCACACACATACAACAACACATATACACAAAATGATTACAAAATATATAAAACGTGTGTTAAAATCAAAACCAACTAACTTGTCCACTTTAAAACAATAAAGTATCCAAATATATCCAAAACAAATAATAATTGACATCCTTAATTTCTAAAAATAAAAAGCATACAAAACATTCAAAATATCTTTAAAACCAAAGCAACATCAAAATATATTAAACGTCTGTTAAAACAGAAATTAACTAATTTGTCCACTTTAAAACAATAAAATACCCAAATATATCCAAAACAAATAATAATTGACATCCTAAATATCTAAAAATAAGAAGCATACCAACCGATCAAAATATGTTTAAAACCATAAGCAACATTATTTATATAGTAAATGTGTGTTATAACCAAAACCAACTCACTTCTCGACTTTTGGAATTAAGAGTGGAGTTTCATCTCCGATTGATTTTCTTTTAGCCTTAGTTGAACTTAAATCATCTCCAGAATTAACGTCATAAATGTCTTGGAGGTTGCGCTTCAAATCAGTTGATATTTTGCCCGGTGTTGTTGCGGTTGATTTATTAACTGTTGATGGTGTAAAGCTTTCATCTGTTTGTGAGATGACATCCTAAATTTATTTTAAAAAAATAAGTATTTAATTGGAACAATTAAATATAAATAAAACTTAAGGAAATAAATTGAAAAACCTTTTGAACAGACTGTACAACATCATCTGATTCCAAAGGCACTTGATTTAAGGAGACAGATTCAATACTCTACAAAAGTAAATGGAAATATGTTAATCGTTATGTGTTTACATAGTCAACAAATATAATTGCTGAACCCTAAAATGTTTTGTACCATAAGTTCTAATTTACTTTCCAATTCTGAAACAATGGATACATCTTCTGTAAGCTTGAGAATGGTGTAGATATTATTATAGTTGTTGACATTGTATTTTGTAATATCTACAAGAAAAGCAAACTTGCGGTTT